ATATTTTCCTCAATGCGTTATTTTTTTTATTTATAATGAAGAACCATACATAAAATAGAATTAGAACTTTTCCTGTAAGTTTTTCAGCCCATGGGAATATCTGGAAACAGTATGCCTTTCACACAAAAAAGCAAGAAGAATATAGTTTATTTATTTATTCATTCTATTCTTTTACCTTACACAGCCAAATTGTTTCCTACATTTCAAGGCAGCTCCCTAACTCTCAGGAGCATATTTTCAAAGAGATCCTTACAAAATGGTATTTAATCATGTCTTGCTCCAGAAGCAGAATTCTGTTTGCAGCACCCTATTTCTTAGCATATAAATATACCAAATTGTGGATCAGTAGAATCTTATAGAAATTTAACAATATGCCATTTTTTGGTTATAGCCTGTAATGTAGGCAATACAATACAGGTCGTCCTCATTTAGCACCCATAATTGAGACTGGCAACTAAGATGCTAAAGTGAAAACTCACCGTGACTGTGTTTACAATTTTACTTCAACTTTTCTTTGGTTTACAATGTTAGAAGGATAAACCTCCAAACAGTCAGGTGAGCCCAAATAGCAAGGAAAGTTTCTGGAACTCGATTCATGAGGAAGCCAGGTAATAGGGCAAATCTTATACCATAGACCCTTTTCCCAACTTTCTCACTCAAGAGAATATTCATCCCTCTGCTGGGATAATAAACAAGAAGAGAATTAATGTTTCTCCTTACATTTATTGGAAAGGAAGGGATTACAAGAGAGTAAGTAGGCACACAATGGAGAGTACATATCAAAAGGAACATGCTAGCACTGTTTGCCTAGTATATACACAGCAGCACAGGAGCAAGCAAAAACCAAAGGTGTGGAACTGATTAAAGTCTTATCAGGTACAGGAAGCAGCTGTGAATCTGCAACCAGGCAAAAGGTTCTAATAAATTAAGGTCACAGAGCTGGTCTTGTTGACTTGTGGCTAGCACTTTTTAGGGATGCATTGTGCTGTGAAGAAAAGCAGCTCAGGAATAGATAGCTTGTTTAGGCAATCTCTCCACTCTGGGAAAGGGGAAAGGGGAAGAGAAAAAAAAAACAGGTCAGATACAGAACAATCTGTAAGATTATAATGGAAAATACATGGCTAAGAGATGCTGCAAAGGATGTAAATTTATTTTATTTCATTTATTTATTAAATTTATATGCTATCCACCTTGCTGTCCAAAGCAAGTTTTACGGGCATTGCTCATAAAGTTACTTTTTCATCACTGTCATAACTTTGCACAGTGGCTGCCTGAGGCAGTTGCTAAGTGAGATCTACCTGTAAGTATTAAATCACTGCAATCTTCCCTACATTGTTCACACAATCAAAAAATACATTTTACAAAATATTTGAGGCCCACAACAGGATGCTCCAATCTCACCAGAAATATTTCAAGCTTGAAACATGGCCAAGGTTAAAATACAGCTAATAAGGCTGGAAGAGGAACGAAATACCCATGGTACAAACTTAAAACAGTCCAAACTAAAAACATTTTGCACTTCTCTGGTTATAATTTCAAGTGAAATGAAGATTGCCCCTCCAAGTTAAGTTTCTTTACTTCTGCCGTCCTTTTTATACATTTGCTTTCTGTGGCCACAAAACAGATGGTACATTCACAAGCATTAATAAATCAAGAGAATCCTAGTTTATTGTTACATAAAGTACTTTAAAACTATTTCAGTGAAAACGATTAAAATAAATAGGAAAAAAAATGTATTACCTAAGCCAGGTTTGGGGTTTCTGTAAGGATATTCGCTTTCGATTCTGAACCTTTTTCAGAGCCAAAACCATGATTTCTAATTCAGAAAACATACCACTATTGTCAACGGTTCACATACCATTTTCACTGCTTATCCATATCATCCCTAAATTGTTTCCTTTCTAATAGGATACACGCCATATGCATGAACCCTCCTTCAAATTAAAATACCACCCTCCAGGACACATAATGGGCAAATAGGCGGCAATATAAATTAAATAAATAAATAATGAATAATGCCCTCTGGGATATTTCTGTAGAAGCAATGCTGGGCAAGAATCGCAGCAAAGCTGGAGGAAGTGGCTGTGGCTGGCGGGGTGGGGACGGACCCTGTGCTTACGCGGAAAGAAGGGTAAATGTGCTGCATCTTTTTAGTGCGAAGTTATATATGGATATGAAAGTAACATCCCTAAGCAAAATGGATTACATGACATATATAGGCAACGACTAATAGCCAAAGACAAATCAACTCTCTTAATTTATCTAAATTCACTTATTGCATTTTTATTTCAGAATAAAGACATCAAAGCTAAAAATAAAATAGTGAAATTCAGTGAGTTAGTAAGTCACTGGAGTACAAAGATGTATTTAATGTTTTCCAATCTTTAAGGGAATATTTCGGGGGGGAAAAAATCATGCCTCTTGATTGCAGTTTTTTAGCTATTTTTGAAAAATATGTCTATTAGCAGAAATACACAATTTTTCTTAAGCACATATTCTACGTTCAGCGTGTTATGGATTAAAACACAATAAAAATTTATTTCTCCAAATCAGTTAAAACATTATACCTTTTCAGCAATGCTATATAAAACTTCATCCATTTTCATACATGTTGGATCCCAATCATGTCCAAACCGATTAACTACCACACGATCTTCTTCTGAAAGAATGGCCTGATCTACTTGCCAGCCATTGTGTAAATGTGGAAGCATGTACGACATATTGAAAAACTTGAATCAGATCTATAAGAAAAATACAGAAAGCAATTTATAATTTTGATGTTTATAGTAAGGGTTAGCTTAGTCATCTAAATGACATCATTTTATTTGATAAAGAACATAAGAGGTCAAGATACTATTGTTTTATAGTTATCCTATTTTAAATTTAAAATTAGCTTCCAAATCTTATAATTATAATTTATCTTAAAGTTTTAAAATCTTAAAGTTATAATTAGAATCCGAGATATAATGAAATATTTATTGGTGAACTAAAATAGAAGCTTCAAACTCAGAGAATATTTTTTTGCCCAGAGAAGGAATATTAGGAGATTTAGAAATACTCAGGAATTGACTGATCATGATCACAACTCAGAAAAGTTGCATTTCTAGTAAATGGAAAAAAATGAAGTAAATTTTGACAAACAAAGAAATATTACAGCTTTATTTATATTTTTATAAGGCGTGTGAATATACAAAGAATGTATTTTGGGGGGGGGGGGAAATCAAAGCGCAACAATGTGTGAAAATTTTCTAGAAATTTCTGAAGACCAGAAAATCATAAATGTAACATCTCTGGAAACTTAGTTATGAAGAAACATATTGTTAAAATAAGTTTTGTTATTTTTTATATGGAACACAATAATTGTTCCATTAATAATTATTTATTTACTTATGCAGACAAACACTAAAATGTAAGATATTATTGGAGTCATAACTACTATACAGCAGTTTCTTTTGCATTTAAAGATGTAATGCTGATATTATCTTATGACAATTTCAGAAACTTCACTTTCTCTTCCCCTAAAGTTCTGTCTAATACCTTTGTAGCACATGAACTGAGAACTAGTCACATTTTGTATTGCCAAAAACAGAATAAAAGGCAGCCACTGTTGTCATATTTGCAGTTGTCAATAATGTATTCCCTTCAGTTCCAAGCATACACTTATAGGGCAACTCATTCAGGTGTGTTTGGATTAATCCAAATAAATATGCTTAGCTTTAGTCCCCCAAAGAGAATAAGAAACCAAGGGTAAAACATTATTACCTTTTTTGTATATTTCCATACAAAGTCAGAGTGAGAAGACTTAGTTTATGCTGTCTAAGAAGTGAAGGACACTGGAGTTCAGGATTACTAGTACAATATTCCAAATTCAGTCTCTTTCCCCAATATTGGCATAGGGCAGCATGTGAATTCTGCAATATCTCTGGCCCTCCATCAGCAACGTCCTCCCAAACCCACAGTTATGCATAGTTCAAAGTGCTATCCTAACTGAGGAATTTGACAGTCCATTCTTTTAATAAGTCTGTCACAAAAAAACGACAGAGAGCAAGGGACAGAATACAACAACATGGATTTGACTGCAGGCTTTCTCAGTCAAGATGTCATGTCATTAATCTTGGGGGCCTGGAGCTGACCAGGTCTTTGAAATCGCCATATCAATAATTTAGATATCTTGGGGTTTCCAGCATACCGATGCATAGTTCAATAGTTGCTGCTGTTATTGAAAACAACAACTAATTATACTGCCGATTCTATCAAGTAATGATACAACTTAGGCTAGAGAACAAGACACGGCAAAATTAAAGATCTTTTAGTTAGAAACTCTCTAAAAGCTGGTGCCTTCCGAGTTTAAAAAAAAAAGTGTGTGGTGAGCAAAACACGCTTTAGGGTTTTTTTGTTTTTGTTTTGGTGAGTTCAAAGACCAGCCCCAGAAAACGTAGATCTTAATCTCCATGCTCTTTGGAGCGCAGCATGCCATCTTCTACAGCAGTTGTTTGGCCGTTTTTAAGATGCGTGGACTTCAACTCCCAGAATTTCCTAGCCAGCATGAAGGATAGGGGGGACCCTGGGAATTGAAGTCCACGCGTCTTAAAATGGCTATAAGGTTGAACAAAACGCAACTCTAGAACATTTATACCTTTTGTTTTCCTCACCTACCCCCCCCCTTCCTTCTTCTTTTCCTCCGCCCGCTGGCCCTGGAGCTCAAACCGCCTTCTAACCGCCGCGTTTTTCTTATCAGCTCGTCCGCCACTCACCCCCCCAAAAATCCGAACAAGCAAACAACCCAGCACGGCCACGGCCGAAGGCCCGCCAACGCTCACGCCAAAGGACAATCCTAGAGCGTCAAAAAGGCTATCGAGGAGAGAGGAAGCGACACCGCATTCGTTACGTTGTCTTCGTCACTTCCGAAGAGAGAGAAGAAGGGAAAAAGGGGGGGTGGGGAGGGGCGTGGAATCATCAGTCTGCGGGAGAAACCCGTCAAGTAGAAGATTTAGGCTAACTTTGTTGTCACTTTGAAATGTATACTAATCGGTATACATTAAAATGAAATTTCATTGCATACAGCTCTCAAAGGGTCTCCATCTCTAATATACACTACATAAACATGACAAATAAATAAATGCAAACTTATGCATATACCCATATATATTATACGACCCGGGGAAAGTTTAGCCCGGGGATACCCTTGCGGACAGATGCGTGTCAGCGCCAGAAGGAACCATCTGTTTCTATTGAGGGCACAATGATAAAACAAAACCCTCCCAGACATCAGGCAGCCTCTCTCCCCGCCCTTCTTCCTCCCTCGCTGTCAGTTGTTGGAGAAGGCCGTTCGCCAAGACGTGGCGCAGTTCTAGGTTTCTTCCTTTCCCACGTTATGGCTGATTCTTCGGGTCTATCCGTAAGCAAACAACATTAGGAGAGCGGGAACAGATTTCTCAGCCTTCTCGTATAGGCTTATAAGTAGCAATAATTGCTAACAAGATTCAGTGTCTCTTTTGTATCTCTATTATTATTAGATTTTTAAATAAAAACTCAAGGTGAATATCCTTAATTTTCTTAATTTCCACAGCAACAATCCTGTGAGGTGAATTGGGCTGGCAGAAAAAGTAACTGGCCCAAAGTCCGTCAGTCAGTTAGCTTTCTTGCTTAGCTAAGGGAGGCCAAGAACACACAGTCCTCAGATTTCTAGACCAGGACTTTTTAAATACTATACCAAACTATTTGTATTAATATATAGGCATTAATATCCAGATCTATTAAGCAGAGATTTAAAACAAAGCTGCTGTTTGATTTCTCTATGTGGACAAATCAAAGAAAGGTTCCCCATCTTCCCTTGAAAAATAATTTATTTCTGATGATAGGCTGGGCTGAAATGTTGGCTAATTTATGATTCAGTGACTGTGTTAGGGACTGCAATTTATGACATGTTTGCTGGAAGCTAGGATTGAATGGCTTCGCTTAACAACCATAGCATCTGCTTAACAACTGTCACATTTGCTTAATGACCACTGCAAAATAGGTTGTAAAATCAGACATAGTTAAGGTGGTGACCTGTTTAACAACCAGCATGACTTATGACCAGGGGTGGGATACGACAGGGTTAACTACCGGTTCGGGATTTACGAGCTTCCCTGCCCGCTGAGAGCCGCGCGACTGTAAATCGTCATTAGCATGCTGTCTGCCGAGAAGCAGCCTTTGAAACAGCCCTCTTTTCTTTTTTTTGTAACTGCAGCTGTGCCTCTTTCGGCGGCTGAAGTTGAAAAATCAGGAAATAAAGATCAAGTAACAGCCCAGGTGGGTGGGTGGGCAAAAACATCAGCAGACATAGAACAGGTTCCTATGTCTGCTGCTCTTCAGAGCTACCAGTTCTACAGAGGTGGACAGAACCGGTAGAAACCGACCCCTGCTTATGACCATAATTCTGGGCTTAATTATCATAAATTGGGGACTACCTGTATGGAGAATTTCCAGTGTTTACAATGTATGTTAGAGTATATTTTTAAAAATATTCCTTTGTATATTGAATGTCTGCATTATACTAGATTCAGATAATTATGCCTTGAACTAATGTTAACACATTTGTTTTTAGCATTTAAAACTTGGGAATTATGTTCAGATGTAAAGCTTTTCACTTGGCAGAGATACATTGGTTTAAATGGTCAAAGAAAAACATTACTTGTCTTCAGTACTACAAGACTGGCCGAAAGAGCACTGGCAGAACACTATTAAGTGCATATCAGTTCACGGTTAGTACCAGGAAAAAAAATCTTGCAAAAGTCTATGGTTTGGGGTTTTTTTGTAAATTTTATTTGAGTTTTCACAAAGAGAAAAAAAACACAAATAAAACATCTTTTTTGAAAGTAGCGTAATCCCGGGTTACATTTCTTCGTATAGACACAAATTCAGGTTCATGCTCATTTTTATATTCTATTCCATATCTTATTACTATTTTACATTTTCTGCATAGCTTCTCCCCTCTTTTAATTTTCTCAATTTTATTTTAATTATCTCATCTCAATTCAAATCATTGTATTTATATTTTTTGTTTGTCCTGTTTCAATTATCTATTATCTTTAAACAAAATTTCTCCTGTAGTTACTGATTGGAGTATGACGCCTTTATATCTTTTCCCTAAAGTTGTAACACTGAATATAATACATAACTTCCATTTGGATTCTGCTTGGTACATTCTTAAAATACACACTGTATTCTTTAAAAAAGAAAAAAATATAAATGTATATAATTAAAACAACATTCCATTCCAATTCAATTCTATCATTAATATTAATTTTCATTAAAGTCTTAACATCTTTAACATTACTTTTCAATTAAATATCATACTTCTATGGGAACAATTATAAGCTTTCCATAGTTAATTCCCCCCCTCTTCACTTATATTTTATAAAACATTAACTAATTAAAATGTTCCCGTTCCTTCCTAATTCAATTTTCTCATTTATTTTGTTTCACTTATTTTATTCACAAACATTTCACTAAATTACACTAACTATTTTATCCCTCATTTTAATCATACGTTGTTTCCAATTTTCTAAAGTTATTTCTATTACTAATATAACAATACAATCTTATGTACCTTTACAGAATCCCTTTTTCAGTTAGATTTTCACCCATTATCTCTAAATAGGTCCTGTTTCTCTATATCTTGCTCCGGTCCTTTGTAACTTATTTTCCTTTCCTTCTTCCCTCTCTTCTTCTCTCTCCCCTTTTTACCCCCTTGTCTCTCTACCTCTAGTTCTCTCTTCTGTATTCCCCTCTTCTGTTGCTTTCCAGTATTATACTTATTTTTCGAATTATTTTTTTTTCTTTGGTTGTTTTTTTAAGTCTTAAATTCTCCATTCTCTTTTCCCCTTTCCTTTTTCTTCCCCACATAAAATTGCTTGTTCATTAAAGATGGCTTCTTCTTTGTCCCAGTCTTCTTGTTTTGCAGTCTCCATTTCTAAGAATTGAAAAACGAAGCCAAAAGAACCCTTTCCTTCTTGTGCATCTTCTTTGTACTTTTTAAGTTCCATTTTCAATTCATCCAGAAGTGGTGCCATTGTATAAATTTTTAAACAACCACCCAATTGATTTTAGTCATTCAAATATAATAACCAAGAATCCAAAGATCACCAAATAATCCAAATACACACAAGCTGTTTCTTTTTTGCTCTTTTTTTTCACTTTCTCTTCCTGGGGTTATTATTTAGTTGCAAAGTTTCAGTTAAAATGTATCTTTTAGAAGTCTTGTTGAAGTTTTACTGTAGATTCTTTTTAATTCCAGGCAGTCTCCTCCTTCTTCCAGATCCTGCCCTTGTTCTTTTTCTCTCCCTTCCTGCTTATGAAAAAGAAAATTTGTAATGTCCAGAAATCTTTATTATCCCTTTGGCATTTTGCTTTATTTTCAGCTTAATTGCCTATTGATGTCAAAGCGGATTTTTCCGATTTCTTATTTAAGTCTCTTAGTTGTCAGTATAGGGAAGGAGAGAGAAGGAAAAAAAGGCAAACCTTTCCCTTTTCACTTTCCTTCGCTGCTTCCGACTCTTCTTTGGGAGCGATGTTATTTTTTGTAAGTTTAAATTCCAGGGTACCTTAGTTGTTGCTTTTACAGTTTTACCCAGTCAGCCAAAACTTTCACTTCTTATCTTCCTCCTGCACATTCTTTTCTGGTCAAGTTCTCCTTTGTGGTGGCCATTTCTGACCACTGCTACAGCCGCCTTCGGGAAAGGGAGTAATGGCCAGCTGAGGAGGAGAGATGCGGCTCTCCTCAACCATTCTGGCAGTCTCCCCACTCTTCACCACTTCTACAGGGTGGCTTAGCCCCGAAACCAGCTGGCTCGGGGCGCTCCAGCGGCGAGCGCAGACAGAAACTGCGCACGATCGTGGATTTCTGTCTGTTGCCGAAGCCCTTCAAACTAGAAGTCAAGTCTATGTTAAAGGTTTCATTAGAGATACCCAAATCTTTGAACAATCAGTGGGTGTATTTAGATTTTTGAGAACATGTCCCGGGACAGTTTCACAGAGTGACCGTCTATTCACAATTCACAAAATGAATCAGAAGGTTAACTTCTGATACTCCATGCCATCCTTTCTTACTCTCAAGATGCTATCTACTATCCACAATTTACCTTGTCTATAAAAGAAAATTTCATCTTCTTTATTGAAAAAGGGGATTTTGGTTAGGCTCCAAAAACATGTTATTTAATTATGTGCTTGGATTTATTTCACGGATTAAAAATAGCTAAAGTTGCTTTTTATCCATTGGGGAAAGAAGGACTTGACTGAGGCATTATTGTCTTAGGGGTCAGTAGCTAATAGACTTTAAGCCAAGTACATCTTGTTCCAAGATCTAGAAATCTTAAAAGAAAGTGGTGGGGGGGGGGACAACATCTCAAGGAGTGAGATTAGATCATTTTAAGAAACTGCGGGATTTTTGGCCAGCTCTATAAGCAAAATATCTGGCAGAACCATTTTTCAGCTACTGCATAATAAAGGAGCAGATAAAAATGTATGAGTGACACCTAGTAATTATCTTTTCAAACTGCTTCTGATATGAATGGGAATGTATAGGATATGCTGTTATTGGTCACTTGCAGTAGATATCCATATTATAAGGAAAGATCCAGCTTTTGTGCTACATTTGTGATTCAGAATAATCTAAAGCGTCTTCCAGGGATTGAATCTGAAGTGCTGTACAGTCCTGGTATATTGGGATGAGATAATACTTCTTCAGCAGCCTAACTCCAAGCTATTTAAGATGTACAGTACAGGCTAATGCCAACAATTTGACCTGGACCCAGAAATGTAACTAAAATTACTACACATGGTAATGCAGTACAGTACATAATGGTTATCTCACTCATATTTTAGGATTTGGGGATCTAATCATCTATTCCTAGTGATTGCTGTCTGTCCTTTAAGATCAGTAACAGAAGATGTTCTTTAGAAAATGTTCTTTAGAAAATGTTATCATAGAGTTCACAGAATAGTACTTTAAAATAATAGTATTTTAAAAGCCAATGTGTTCTTCCCACTCAGAGTTTTATCTTTATAAGTATACAAATGTGAAAAGCCAAGAAATTCTTCCCTGATCCTGAATTTCCAGGATCAGGGAAACTTTAGTCCTTGGTTATTTAAAAGTTTTTAAAAAAATACCTCTTAACACTTGCTTTCTCAATCAAATGTTTCTGATCATTATCTTCTCTTTCAGATTATGGAAAAAGAACTGCCTGGTGTGCTGATCTCTGAAATAGGTGGTACCTTTGGTGTGTTAGAAAGCCATGTAGAGTTTTTCAAGAAGCATTTCAATCTCATCACCATGAAGGAATTTCAGAAAAGCAAAGAACTCCATGAAAAGATCAAATCTGTTTTTGTATTTGAGTGTCTTCCAGTCATTGACCAGGCGCTCCTTGAAAGCCTGCCCAACTTAAAGGTGATTGGAAATTCAGGAGTAGGAGTGAATCATTTGAATCTGAAATTAATTAGTAGCTTTGGCGTTAAAGTGACGAATACTCCGCATTCTGTTTCTGATTCTACTGCGGACATTGGAATGGCATTAATGCTAGCATCTGCCAGAAGATTAGTTGAAGGTAAATAATTTTATTCTGCAGTTGTTTGGCCAATGTTGGACTGTCCCTATAGTTATTTCAAGCCCACCATCTGCTTCTTCACATACTTACTTTCATCTAGCTATAATTGTAACACTGAATTATATTGGGGATTTGGACCTATATTTAGACCTATATGATGCGAACAAGATTAAGCAGAATATACTTTGGATGTTTTAAATGGGCACATGAAGCAATAATCTCTCTGCATTATCCTTGGGTCAGCTAAGGTCAGCAGATCTGATTTTGCTCCCAAAACCATCTTGAAAGAAGTTAAGTTGTCAAAATGTCAAGTTGTTCCCTGTAGAGAAACTTTTGTTAGAAAACTTCGGGAAATTGCTTCAAATTTCTTTTTCAAGAACCAGTGTGAGTGTACATATCACAGTTTGATGTGACTTATCACAGCTTCACAGCTTGACTTATGACAACAGTTGAGCCCAAAATGTCTCTTGGTGGCACATTTGTTAAGTGAGTTTTGCCCCATTTTACAACCTTTCTTGCCACAGTTGTTAAGTGAATCACTGTAATTGTGAAGTTACTAACACGGTTGTTAAGTGAATCTGACTTCCCCATTGACTTTGCTTGTCAAAAGGACACAAAAGGTGATCACATGACTCCGGGACACTGTAACTGTCATAAACATGAGTCAGTGGCCAAGTGTCTGAATTTTGATCAAGTGACCATGGGGATGCTGCAATGGTTGTGAATGGGAAAAACTATTATGTCACTTTTTTTCAATGCCATTGTAACTTCGATTGTTTACTAAGTGAACAGTTGTAAGTTCAGGGCTACCTGTACTCTTTATTTATTGATATATATTGATCTGCTGTAAAATGTGTTCAAGTGAAGTCTTATTTATTTTAAATTGCTCTTCTCATAGTTAGGAGAAGTAAAATAACACTTCCTTATATGTGCAAGCATAATCACTAATTTTGTGCCTTTAGATTATACGGCTTTTTTCATACAGTTTTATTAGTAGGATCCCAAAATGGAGAAACAGAACCACACACAATGTCTAGTGGAACATCTTTCTGAATAAGCATCTTTAGAAAGTCTTTAATGGTCTTTTCCAAGTCACCCAATTATTTGACAACTATTTGTTCACCTCAATTCCTTGCAAAGAAAAGTTTAAGAAATATTAAATGGTAACGTATTATTGAAAACTTTGTTATCTCTATTAGAAAGCTTTTGAATAAGAAAGAGTCAGAGCTGTAAAAAAGCAACAAATATCATTGTAGAATTGATAACATAACCCCCATGATCCCTCCATATGATTTTTAGAGTTATTTTCAACTCCTGCCACTTAGAATATTTTAATCTGATGTGATTCAACCCGAAGCCCTCCAGGCTATACCTCTATGTCCCCTCTGTATGGGAACTCCTTCCCCAGAAAGTCAGTGGAGAAGTTGGCAGGAAAGATGGCAAACTGCTATCACTTGCTCAGAGGACTCCGTCTTGTATCTGGGGGCTGGCTGAAAGAGCTGCCTTCCGAGGGGAACTGAACTCCTTAGGCGGGGTGGAGAAATGGAACAGAACTCCTGAAAGTCTGAGCTCCTTTCGTGCATCCTGCTAAAGGTGTTCCCTTTCAGGTGTGAAAGGGAGCTGACTCCTTTGGCAGGATGGAGAAACAGAACTCAGAAGATCGGAGCTCCATTCTTGCACCCTGCCAAAGGCATTCCTTTCCATGTGAGGAGGGGAGCTGAACTCCTTCAGTGGGGTGGAGAACAGAGGTGGTATTCAGCAGGTTCTGACCAGTTCTGGAGAATAGGTAGAGGAACTTTTGAGTAGTTTGGAGAATTGGCAAATATCACCTCTGACTGGCCCTGCTCCCATCTATTCTCTGCCTCCCAAACCCAGGAGATCGTCTGGGTCTTCTTTTGTTGCCCTGCACACGAGAACAGAGCTGGAAAGCAGGGGGGAGGGGGGAATGGGTTTTTGCAGTAACCTTCCCCTGGAGTGGGGTGGAAATGAGGATTTTACAGTATCCTTCCCCTGCCTTGCCCCCATTAAGCCCCATCAAGTTATGCCCACAGAACCGGTAGTAAAAGAATTTGAATACCACCACTGGTGGAGAAGATATGAACTCTGTTCCTGCATTCACCAACAGTGTTCCTTCCGTGGACAATGGGGAACTGACATATTCCTGTGGGGTACAGACATAGGATTTAAATTCTGATGATTTAAACTCCTTTTTCTGTATCCCATGGAACTCCTTCAGCCACTGCCTAGAGAGAAGAGGGGAGCTGAAATCCAAGCAGGATTCTCAGCTCCTGCGTGGAGAACCAACGTGGTAAGGAAAGAACATGGGGTGCCTTGGGGCTGGGAGAGGCCTATTGCAGGCCATGCACAAGTATTTCTCACTCGGGCTGAAAATCCTATGTGGATTTCAGCAGGAAGGATTTTTACCACCTATACAGAGCCTCCCGAGCCCCAAGAAACATCCCGCATTCCTTACCTGAGACTTGATTTGCTTGACCCACACAATTGCTTAATTGACACAACCATGAGTACAGGGATTGCGGTTGTTGAGCGAAGCAGTCATGTGGGAAGTCACCTGACATCCTACTGAACAAACACTCTGCTCAATGACCCAGATTCTGGTCCCAGTTGTGGTTGTTAAGTGAGGGCTACCTGTAGTGGAAGACAAGGAGAGGAAAGAAATATCCACTCTGGAAAGCAATTATGTGAATCTTATACTAAAGGATAACGTGATTGTTTCAACTCTCTATGTATTTTGTTTTTCTTAATGCTATTAAGATTGGGAGATTATAAAGATAGTTAAATTTAAAAACAGTGAGATTAAGCAATTGTGTTCAGTTGTATTTTTGTCTAACATGCATGGTTTATTCTCTGATTTATTTTTTTCTGTAACAATTTTCTGCAATAGCTAATTAGATAAATATCAACACATAATATATATCAAAAGATTTCTGAACACTCATCAAGGACGTGCCCTTTAACACCACAGGACAAATGAGATATATCAGTTTTTTTCTGCAGAAATTGTATACTTGGAAATCAGAAAGCGGAGGGATTTCCTCTTTAGACAAAATCCAGTCAGGGAAATGGATAAATCCCAAATAAGCAGAAAATAAATCTAACCATTGCTGTTATGGTAGTAGGAAAGAATTAGGAAGCCAAAAGAGAGAAAGATGAGAATAATGTTATCCCACTAGAACAGATATCCCTCTTAATATTATTTTACTCAATTTCTATTTTTGTGTTGTAGGTTGTTATCTGGCAAAATCTCCAGATACTACGCAATTTGCTGTTAATTGGCTAGGAGTAGAAGTCAGCAGGGCCACTCTTGGTATCATTGGAATGGGCAACATTGGTTATAAAGTAGCCAAGAGGGCAAAGGCTTTTGATATGAAGATTCTCTATCACAATAGGAATCGGAGGTAAATGTATTTTGATGCATATACTGTAGATGTGTGATATGCTATAGTACGATTGATATGAGATAGGATGGGATAGGATATATTATATATTTTGAGATTTAAGTTTGGAACTCATTTAGTAGCCTTTAAAAATATTTTCTTTTAACTGCCTTTTAGCAATGATCTTTGGTCAAAGAACCAGACTAGAATTGAAAGTATGAATGCTATATATTAGGCTTGTCCAACCCGCGGCCCACGGGCCGCATGCGGCCCAGGTCACCTCGTAATGCGGCCCAGTGCCCACCCCAACCTTCGTACCAGAGCCAGCGAGGAGGAGGAGGAGAGGCAGGGGCGAGGAGGCCAAGCAGCAAGAGAAAAGGTGGGCGCCGTCAGAGCGCCACCTCCTGCTGTTGCCACCGCCGGCACTGCCGCCGCTTCTGCCCCCGCCGCTGCCGCTTCTGCCCCCGCCACCGCTTCTGCCCCCGCCGCCGCTTCTGCCCCCACCACCGCTGCTGCTTCTGCCCCCGCTGCCGCTGCCCCCGCGGCGGGGGCAGAAGCGGCGGCGGTGGTGGGGGCAGAAGTGGCGGCAGGGGCAGAAGCGGTGGTGGGGGAAAAAGCGGCGGCGAGAGCAGAAGCGGCAGCGGGGGCAGAAGCAGCAGCGGTGGCGGGGGAAGAAGCGGCGGGGGTGGCGGTGGGGGCAGAAGCAGCAGCGGTGGCGGGGAAGGCTTCTGCCCCCGCCGCTGCTGCTGCTGCTTCTGCCTTCCAGTCCTGCCTCATCCAGCCGGGCCATTTGCAGGAGGAGAGGTAGGCGTGAGGCAGGCGAGCTTTCTCCCCCTCCTTCCCCCCCCCCCCGCCCAATTTGGCCGGAAAATAAACTGTGATAAAAAAAAATGTGATAAAAAATAAATAATTTTAATAAATAATTAATAATAAATAATAATCTCACTAATTTCATTTCCAAATAAATTTAATATGTTAACTATGTTTTCTATGGTTTTTTGGGATGATCAGGTATCCTTACTGTTATTTTATGTGCGGCCCAAACCAAATTTTCATCTTCTAATGTGGCCCAGGGAAGGTGAAAGGTTGGACACCCCTGCTATATATGTTTACTTGGCCCAAGGAAGCATATACCAGTATTTCCTTAGTGTTGTTACAATGGCAATAGAAATGCATAAACATTCAGGTAAATTAAATCTAAAGGTTATTAAGCTATTGGTTTGTGATTAGTTGTGGACATTCCATTCCACTGAACACAGGCAATTAATCAAGAAGTGAGCTCTGTTGCCAAGTTCACTTCAGATCTGGTCTGAAGATATTTGGAGTGTGGTTTCTGAGACATTCTCATCTCACATGGCTTTACCAGATGTCATTTCACCAGTGAATAGCAAACATGAAATTCTAAGCTCAATAATCCCAAACTATTTTAATTTTATATCTGTTTCTGGCAAGAATGCTCTCTAGGAGTAAATTTAAGATCTAATTTGTCATCAGATTGATAACAAAAAAGAGGTTAACTATATAAATAAGACAGTATGCAAGAACATGCTTTCTTCAAAGCTATATTTTATAAAAATCCTGGAGACTAAACTGCATGTTTCAACTACTTTGAGTTGTTATTAACAACAAGCAGATTTAACAAATACTCTGAAGCAGTTATTTTTGGAACAACAAAAAGTTTGTTATGCAAAGCAAGAAGAACCACTGATACTGTCATAGGTTGCACTGATCAGGAAGAAAAGTGGTATGGGATGCTGCCTTTAGACCTAATATAGCAAGCTCCCCATGACTAAAGTATTTCTTATTAATGCTATTCAGTGATTAGCCTCCAAAACAACCCCATTATAAAAAACCTCTTTTAAAAGTTTGTTTTCACATTTATTTCTTCCAGAAAAGAGGAAGAAGAACAAGAGGTTGGTGCTGTGTATTGTAAAAACATTGATGACTTACTTCGACAGTCTGATTTTGTGATGCTGGTTGTAAATTTGACATCAGAGACCCACAGTCTCATAGGAAAAAGAGAGCTAGAACTGATGAAACCCACAGCCACACTCATCAATATCTGCAGAGGTAGGATGCAACACTATCCAAATATACATCTCTATTGTTTTTAAACCATTGATGGTTTCTAAAAACTTTCTTGGTAGGTCTGTATTCTGAGCTTTTTTTTATTATTTCTTGATAAAATGTCAGTCATGCAAAATATGTTTCATTAAAATTTAGGTGTCTAATCTTATTGAACTGCATTTGTTAAAGCAATAAGACTATACTTCTTACCACAACTTAGTCTATCCAGACCAAAACCATCAAGAGGTACATATTTATTAAGTGAGGCCATAAGCAGTGCATCTAGTCATTTCATGATTCTTTTTTAAATAGAATCTTGTGGCTAAACGTTGAAATGAGAACATTTGTCTGCAACCTTTTTTCCTATAGATGTTAGAGAAATCTGACAAACGAAGTGATAGGATCCATAGTATAGATTTTGTTGTTGTTCGCAAGTACTAGTCCATTATATAAAAATATAAGCAATGCTGTATAATTGTAACTTATTGTTAGTAGGGAATTAATTATATGTAAGCATTAGTATAATAAAATAATATGTAAATCATAATTTAGCTCCCCTCTACATGCTGTTGACTGCTGCTTATATGCTTTTAGTGGAAATTCTTGTAAGTCTTTGAAAAGAAGGAAAACAATAGTTAAAATAACACATTTCCATTGACAAAGCTGTGAGTTTCATAACGCCTCATGCAATTGTATTAGGAAGGACATCATATAAAAATAAATATATAGCTTAATTAAATAATTTATGACCTACTAATGATACAGTTTTCTGGACTTGAATGGGCATGATAATTAAGCATTAATTATCATGATTAAGGATTACATTTGTAAGTCTTTCACAACCAATTCTTCAGCAATTTACAATAATGGATTTGGAGAGATTTTGTGGAAATATAGTTAAAATATTTATTTTAAGGTTTTGGCAGTCCTAAGTGTTCTTATTGAAAATAAATTATACTGAACAAATGTATTTAAGTTCAAGTACCTGGTACAGAATTCACCTATATATCTCATAACAAGTGGTATCCATTCACATTAATATTTCTTTGTCATGACTGTATCATTCCAAAATCCCCTTTCTCTTAGGTGCAGTTGTTGACCAGGAGGCATTGGTAGAAGCTCTCCAAAATAAGGTTATTAAGGCTGCAGCTTTGGATGTGACCTATCCTGAGCCATTGCCAAGGTAAAATAATACAATACTCCTAGATCAGAATAAAAGGACAATAAATCCAGCATGAAATAAATAACGATTATATTGTATAGATTCAGAAGAGCATTCTTAATATAGGAGCTCCTATGTTACTGCCTTTGCCATCCTCTCATTTTTTTGTGTTATGGAGGAGGAAGAGGAGAATTAATTATAATCAAACATCTTTAGAGCTGTAGCAGGAATGGCAAAATTGTTCAGGAGTACCAAAACCTTTTAACTTTGTAGTACTATACAAAGGACTGTAAATCTGAATGGCTGAATCTAAAGCAGATGGTAAGAGCCAACGGTAAGCTAATCTACATCATGTTTTGCCACCTTTTTTTCTTTCCCAGCAGGTTGTTCCCAAAATTTATGAAATTATGACAAGAGTGAGTGGCTTTTCCACCAAGCTCTGTACTTGTCTCACCATTGGTTTAGAGTTATCCGTAATTTGTAATTTTCCTTGGGCCGACTGAAATCCAAACTTTCAAACAAACTAGAAGCCTACAAGGAATTGGTAGGATGGAAAATAAATTAGAAGTAAATCTATACACTAGAGGGTTTACTATATAATAATCTATTTATAGTCAGACTAGTACAGCCAGTTTATCCTTTATCCTTATCATACAGATTAAAAAAATACTTCTAACTCCTACTCTAAAATCAACAGTAGTCTGCATTGTTTCTATAATCCCATATAATTCTAATCATCAAATCCCAACTTCAGAAAAATTCTTAAGTGGCTTCATTAACAATTCATCACTATCTCCTAAAATAAACCAAACACCTCTTCATTCGATACTCGATCCAGTTTCTACAAAGTCACCTCTAAATCTGCAGCTCTTTGTATTAATCAAAAAAGATCCACTAAAAAAATAGCAAAAACACCTAATAATTTAAATTTATGCCACCCTTTTCCTTTTAATTTACGTGGTGTGGTGATTGAAATATTGGAGATGAACTGAAAAAGTCTGGGTGTAAGTTCCCATTCAATGACTGAGCGCAGTAGTTGACTTTGGGCCATTATTTTCCCAAGTCACCTAATTTCATAGGATTGTTGTCAGGTGGATAAAATTAGATGATACACCCAGGTTTGCCTTGAGCTGTCAAGGAAAAGGTTGGATAAAAGTGCAATAAATAATCTAACTTTTGAGAAGGTGTCTATTTGGAGTACATAAAATGCATTTTAGAGGTTTGGTCTTTAAAAAAAGATCACAATTGCTTCCAACATTTCATTCTTCAATCATCCCAATGCAGATATTTGGGAGAATTATTCCCATTCTCTTTGGCAATAGCAGGATTGATGCCAGAGGAAGAATGATTGAAATAGCAAAGCAGCAAGTAATGGCTGTTTGCAGGTTGTGTCTCTTGGATAGTATGGATACTACCCCACAAAAAGCTTTCCATAGCAGAAACTGGGCAGCAGAAACTAATACCCTTTTTTGTTGATTTCAGTCTTGAAGCTATTTCTTTCCAACTCCAATTTGCCTTGGCCAGGTGAGTCTAAATTATCCTGTCTTGCTTTCTCTGCAGAGATCACTTGCTGTTGCAGATGAAGAATGTCATCATAACACCCCACATTGGCACAGCTACAGATCAAGCCCTGCGCATGATGACAGAAGAAGCAGTGGAAAATATCTTGGCAGTTCTCAATGATCTTCCCATTCCTAGTGAAGTGATCTCCAAATAACTTGATGGAGAACATACAAAAAAAATCATGAATTATAAAGAACAGGACATTAACCTCTAAGAAACATGACAAATAACCAGATAACATATTCCTATCAGTTTCAAAATGTGTGTCTGATTATTTTTTTGTAATTAAATTAATTCCGTAAGCCACCCAGAGTTATTTTGAAACAAAATGGGTGGCAAATAAATTTGATAAATAAATAAATAAAATCCCATTGGAAAAAAGTTTGTTCTGAGACTTTTGATCATGGTGGTTGGATTTCTGATTCCTTCATCCTTTTATCTCTAGCAAACAGATACACCTCTTTGGAAAATGAGAACAACAAATTCAGAAGAGGCTTAGGGCTTTGTTAAACATCACACCAAGATTCAAACGTAAAAAAATTGAATAGTTCCAGTATAGAAATATTATTTGAGATTGTAGTTTTTATGTTTGAAAAGATCTTTCTCCTGCATTCTTAACCTGCAGATGATTGTTACAAATTACACAAAGAAGACAACACAACCATGCTGCCTTGCACATTTGGTTTGCTAGGCTAGATGAGAAATTGCTTAGAAACGTCAATTTTTATTCACCCATATTTATTGACTAAACCTAGTTGACTGAGTTTACACAACCCATTAACCCATATATACATATGATTAACTAGTTGCTATGGTTGAATTGACACAAAAACAAGCAAAACACAATATTGCCAAACAGTACATGAATCAAGACATTGTTTTCTGATCTTGACTAGAAAGTGGTGACTGCTGAAACTTTCAAATTTTTCATGGCATTCAAAAGCTGAATCCATTAATGATATAATTGATTATATTAAGGTATTTTAAATGGCCTGAAGAGCAAATTGTTCTGAACCAGCTTGCTTTTATGGTTTTTTTTTAATGGACAAACAAATTTCAAGACATAATTTAGAAATAAGGAAGAGGAACAAAAGTGTGCTTGTATTACTGACAGGGAAAGAATGAAATACAGACACTTTAAACTTTACAAAAGCACCATTTATAAAGATAAAAGCAATCTGTTTAAAAAATAATATACTGTTGTTAAGATAGGTGATCAGACTTGAATAAACATTTCACAGTCATATGAACCTTTAAAGCCCTTTGAGGCTGGGTTAATTTTCAACCAGAGCAAAAGTCTATACCTTTAAATTCTACTTATCCAAAGAAAAATGTACTTTTTGGATGTACTAAAAGGTATGTTTAATTATTGATTATTTGTCTTCTATTTTTAATTCATGTAATTTTCCAAAATCAGCAATATAAAACTTCCAGGAAAATGTATTTTCAAATAGGATCAATATTTTCAATGCGTTCTGATCTATAAAGAGATTTGAATGATTACTTAGAATACTCATGCAATAATTGAGAAGTAACAAAAAAGTAGCAGTATTTTTGCTCTTTATCTGTACCTACATAATTTCTTTAACCTAATGAAATTGAGATCCAGTTAAGAAATGCATTGTGGTTCTAATGGACTTAGCATTTGGTATTTTAAAAAAATTGCATAAGCCCACCAGAGACAACTAACTATACTTGTACTTTATTAGTAGAAAATTTTAGTAGACTCATTCAACTGAATATGAATATATATTCAGTATATGATCAAGCCATAATCCAGCTGCATTTGGTTAAGAGAGAAAAGTTTAACAAATAACTTATTAAGTTACAGCTTGATTCAGAGTTCCCCATTACACTTTGCCCTTTTCTTATGAAAGATCTCTATGTTAATAGAAGTGAGAATACTGTAGCTTGAATTATTATATAGAATTTGGATAATTCAGAATGCACATTAAAGTTTGAATTTCAAGAGAGTTACCGATTCAGAAAAAAAGGCTTTTCTTTTCTTGATATGATATGTGCTCTACCTTTTTAAAATATTTGTTTAAAATACCAGATGTCTGATTTTTCTATTATTGTATAAGTAATTTCAACTGAAAGGAGTACTCTTGAAAATTAGGATAAATACATTTTTTCTCTTACAATTTAGTTTAAAATAGCTATTTTCTAGTTAAGACAATGCTGCCAAACTAGAAATAACCAATAGAAAAATTATTGGTTGGCCTTCAATTAAGAATTTCACTACAGAGAGATACTCAGTTTGATAAATAGGACAATAACCTCTCAAACTAGGATCTGTCTCTTCAAATCCTCATTCACTAGTAAAAGCTTCCTGGGTGAGCTGAGCCAGTCCCCATCTAGAGAGGTAAATTGGTTGTGAACCTAAATCAGAGGAAGGTATTCTCTAAATTCCAAAGTCCTTCACTGTTGGCTTCTTTGGAACGCTGGCTGGGAGATATTTAAAGATAATCTTCCCAAATTGTTCTTTGAAACAAGTAATGATTTCAGAAGCAAGCTAAACTGGATTATTTTCTGCAATGACTGATGCATTTAGCAAGGTATAATAATTTATATCTGCATTTAGCAACAGATGCATCTGATGCATTTAGCAACAAATAATTTATATTTGATGAGGTGGGAAAAGAGGAACAAAGAGTACCATTGATCATCATTGGCAAACTTGTGCTTTGAGTCAAGTGAAATGGAGAGAGAATTGAAAGAGGGGGAAGGGCAATTTTAAGTGCTATATCTGCAGCAATTTAGCAGCATTCTTATTTTTCTACCTGGTATGTTTGGGATGTGTATTTTTATACAATGTGTTAATTTCAATGAATGAGAATAAGTAAACGTCTTGATCTTCACATCGGTTAAAAAAAAAATCATTAGTTTTAATGGTGAAATCTCTCAAAAACTGTTAGAATGTTGTTATCAATGCACTTTTCTAAGATCAGTACATTAATAATTGTATACTGTTAGTATAGGTGTTATAAAGGTAATATCTATTGTTTTTGTTTAAATAGATTGTGGAAAAACAGGAGCTATCTTATACATTAATAAGCATCATCGGCAGTCCAGATGGAGTTTATGAAGACCATGTAGAGTTTCTGGAAAAACATCTTAAACTCGTCACCATGCATGAATATCTGAAAAACAAGCAAGTACTTAATGAAAAAAATCCAAGCAATATTTATGTGGGCCTATAAACCTGAGGCTACCAGGGATCTTCTAGAAGAGCTACCTAATTTAAAAGTCATTGCAGTCTTGGGTGTAGGAATAGATCACCTTGATTTAAAATTGATCTTCGGCTTTGATATAAAAGTAACTAATACGCCTTTTGCAGTGTCCAGTTCAACAGCTGATATAGGAATGGCTTTGACGCTAACTTCCGCTAGAAGGATTGTGGAAGGTACAATTTAAGTTTTGTTAATTTAATGACAGTACGATGGGGGAAGGGAGAGATTGAGGGCCCCTTAGTGCTGTCTGAGCTTGGTCAATTTCTGGCAGACATTTCATTACTGCAAGTAGGTAACATCATCATTTTGGGTAATGAAACGTCTACAAACTCAGAGAGCATCCAGGATCCCTCATTTCAACTCTGAGGAACAAATAATCTCCTTTATTGGGGGGAGGAGGGGAAGAAACTCTTTAAATCTTTTATGTTCCAATGTAATTGGTTTTCGTGGGTTCATATTGTTTCAAAAAGACACCCTTGTAGGTACAATATAACCAAGTATTTTGCCATTGTCTTTAACCCAGTTTGGTCTACATCTTAGAAACATTCTCATGATTCCCATCCAAGAACTAGCAAGGTTTGCCTCTGCTTAAGGATTATGTTGTGGTCTTTCAAGATATAGCAACCTGCTGAACTTATGAACTATCAGATCAATGGTCTCCAACCATTTGGACACCAGGGACCTGTTCTGTGGAGAGAGGTTTTTCCGTGGACCAGAGGGGTCGTGGTTTTGCGTGCTGCCCGCATCCTGGGTTTTTTTTCCCGACTTCCAATCCAGTGTACAGATTTACCCAGAGATCTGCCATCCTAGCTTCCAAACCCAGCAGAGTTAAATTTGACTCTAGTGATACCATAGACTGATTTTAATGCCATAATGCAATTCTGGAATATATAAAAACAAAGAGTGTGTTCTGAACAATCACTTTCTAATGCATTCAGCAGAGAATCTCTGTGCATCGTAGCTAGGATCATGAAGAAAGATTTCTAGGTTTCCTCCAAGGCAGTTGAGCCCTTGCTACAAATACCAGTAGCAGGAAGTGGTGTGGCACCCGCCCTCTGTTTAGAATGAGTAAGGTCGACATGCTTTGCTACAAAAGAGTAAGCCCTGCGCTGTTGATTATTGACTGATTTTGTACTACCATAATCCACTTCTTTTTGGTTTGTTTTTAAACATTTAGGTCATCAGATTGCAGTCCCCCTGACACTAAACATTTTAATATCAACTGGTTGGGATAAGAAATAACTGGTGCAATTCTAGGAATCATTGGAATGGGCTGGATTGATTACAAGGTGGCCCAAAGAGCTAAAGCTTTTGAGATGAAAATTTTAGATCATAACAGAAACCAAAGGTAACCAGCTCTTGATCATATATGCATAAAATTTATTTTCTTAACCTTTCTATTTTTATCTTTCTCTTATGCTCACTATGAATAACTCCATTTGACTCCCATTGCAGAGATACCTGTATAAAAAGTACTTTTTTCCTAAACTTTCCCAAATGTACATTTTAGATCCACAAATGAACATTGCAGGGAAAGGCATGCCTGCATCAACCAAATACACCAATAGGAGATAGACCAGGAAATCTCCAAACTTGATAACTTTAAGATTTGTGGACTTAAACATGGCTGGCTGAGGAATTCTGAGATTTGAAGTCCAGAAGTATTAAAGTTGCCAAATTTGGAGGCCCCTGAGCTAGACAAATTCCTGACCTGCTTCATTTTTACTCTACTTGCAAGTGAAACAATATATATTGTACATGTATCAAGATTTGTGTTGGGAGAAGATAGAAAAAAAGCATTTCAACATTGAAACAGATTAATATAGTATGTACCTAAATAGTATTGGTGCTGGTATGAGAATGGGAAGAAGGCTGTATCATGAGGAGATAGTTTTCAAGAATAGTTAGAATAGGCATTTTTGTAACAGGTTAGAGGCCTTGTGGATGTACTTATATGTTCAGATTGTCTTTGTTACTAGTTCTGTGGAGGTACGAAACATCAGTGGAAATATTGCTAGCGTTAATAATTAGAATTAAATGATTATGTCCTGCAGGTATGAAGCAGGTGAACAGGCTGTTGGTGCAGTTTATTGCCAAAAGATGGAAGATTTACTTCCACAAGCTGACTTTGTGATGTTGACCGTGAATCTGACCCCTCAGACATGCAAGTTGATTGGGAGAAAGGGACTAGAACTCATGAAGCCCACAGCCACTCTTATCAACATCTGTAGAGGTAGTATATATGATTTCAAATTCATTATAGCCACATTTTCCATAAAGTGAAAATCATTTATGACATGAGAGAAAGTAAGGAATTACAAATGAAATTCTGTCGGGAAAATTTAAGGCAGACTATAACTCAACTGCCTCATCTCTCAATTAAAGAGCTTGAGGTATTGTAATATTTTCAAATACCTGTACTGGATTAAACTTGTTCTTCCCAGTTCATGCGTCATCCCATTTTTAGAATTCCTGGGCAACCTTTCCCTAATTGCACATCTCCTTACTGCTCTAAAGAAAGTTCTCCTGATACTTAAATGGCCATTACAGGTAATCATGGACGTATGACCGCAATTGAGCCCAGAATTTATGTTGCTAAGTGAGATATTTGTTAAGTGAGTTTTGACCCATTTTTTACACTTTTCTTGCCACATTTGCTAAGTGAATCACTGCAGTTATTAAATTAATAACATGGTTGTTAAGTGAATCTGGCTTCTCTGTTGACTTTGCTTGTCAGAAGGTCACAAAAAGTGATCATGTGACGCCGGGACATTGCAACCATCATGAATATGAACTAATTGTCAAGCATCCAAATGTAAATCACATGAGCATAATGGTCATAAGGGTGAAGAATGGCCATAAGTCACTTTTTTCAGTGCTGTTGTAACTTCGAACAATCACTAAATGGACTGTTGTAAGTTGAGGACTACCTGTATCCATTTTACATTCAGGTTATTTTTCTTGCTATTTACTGCTCTTGGGCTTCTGATCTCCAGAGGTAAACCATACATGGGACATGGTAAATAAGGGACTATTTTCAGTTAACAAATCAGCAGAGATGCTGAAATGTTCGCTTTAATTTGTAAACGTTAGTCATTATCTAAAACACCTCCTTGAAATAATAGTCAACCTGAGAACTACAAATATCAATTAAAGACTCAAACGTACACATACAGCAGACAGGTTACAGTAAAGTATTTTCTTTAACATTTTTCTAAAATAAACACTCTTGCATTCCTTTCCCTTAGGTGGAATTATGCTTGCTTTCATTTCCTTTCCATTCCAAATTTCCTGAAATGTCAAATATTTTTTACATTCACAACTCCTTAACCATTCCTCTCCTGCCAAGAAAATTAATGTTTTAACAGTAAGAAGCTGAGGGGAATAGCACATTATTCAAGTTCTTCACTATAACAAGGAGTTGCTAATAGTTTTGGTTGCCCTTTTTCACATATTTTCCAAATTTACAATATTTGTGTGGTATGGTGTGTTAAGCAAAATAGAATTCATTATTTTGATCATAGTTGCTTCGTAGAGTTGTAGGAAGTCATAAAAGGATTTTTCCACTAGCCCGCAAATTAAGAACTTTTATTTTTCTTAATTTATTTTTCAAACTAAGTTATTGTATGTATTAACTGATTGATTCTTATAACCCCAAATCCAGGGGTGGGATTCTACAGGTTCGCACCTATTCGCTAGAACCGGTTGTTAACATTCTAAGCAGTTCGGAGAACCAGTTGTTAGTAGAAATTACTGGCCTAATCCTGTATGGAAGGCAGGAAGGAAACATTCTGGTGTTGCTTACAGAAACTGCCTCTCTGTTAAACCTTATTACATTCTTGGCAAGACTAGACTTCTTGTCTCAGGAACATCTCTGGAGTTTTTTCCCCCTCCTTTGCTGGTACTTTGATGGTGTGGAGTGACCATTCAAAGTTACAATGGCACTGAAAAAAGTGACTTATGATCATTTTTCACACTTACGACTGTTGCAGCATCCCCACAGTCATGAGAGGCCAGGCGAGGAGATGCGTGCCTCGATGTGAGTGATATGGAGTTGTCCACACCCAGCCAATAACATGACCACCAAGCCACATCCACCCAGTCACATGACCACCAAGCCACGCCTACTGTCTAAGCCACGCCCACAGAACTGGTTGTTAAAAATTTTGAATCCCACCCTGCCCAAATCCCTTTTGTGATAAGATTCCATTAACTTAATGTTAGACCCCATTCATTCAAAATGCTCCTCAATAAAATATAAGGAATTTCTTTCTTTGTTTTCATCATGGTTGTCACCAGAAATGTCAATCTTTTAGTGTGAAAGTGGCATGTCACATCTAACAATGATTTACTGCTCTCATTCAGAGAAATGAATCTCCCTTTTTAGCTTGGTAAGTGGCATGTCTTGATAGAGCTAATAAAACCATTGTTCTCTTGTTTGCTTTAAATTCAGGTCAAGTTGATGATCAAGATGCACTCCTGAAGGCCCTCCAAACAAAAAGAATTAAGGCTGCTGCTTTGGATGTAACCTATCCAGAGCTACTACCAAGGTAAAAAAAAATATTCATTTGGAATTAATATGTCAGTGTGATTTTGGGGCTCTACTTATTCCTTCATTTTTGGCATTCTACCCCAAAATGACTCATCTCTGATTCATCTAGTCTGCAGGATTATTTAAGATAAAAGAGTTAACCACTGATGCCAAAGAAAACAAATGTTCTCTATTAATCAATAGAGTAATATATTTGACGAAATAGTATACTACTTTACTGATTGATGTATGTTGTTTATAAGTGACAACATGGATAGATTTTCTCTGTGAACATTATTATGATACAGTGACTTGATTTAAGTTCTCCAAATGTGAAATTAATCTGCAGCAGCAACGTAGCATTATTTTTTTAGCCATGATAAATAGACAACGATTATGGAGTTAACTCGGCAGAAGCTGTTCACTAAGCTTGGAATTCATACTCAAAGAATCATAGTGTTAAAAGGAAGCATATATATATAGGTAATCACGTTCAACCCCCTGCTTAATGGAAAAATTAAAACACTCCAAACCAATTAACATTGTAGGGAAAATGACAAGTATACACACAGAGAATTGCATTTAGATTTATAAATATTTAAACATTAGATTTATAGCTATTTATAGGTTTTAATTTCATTATGTGAATGCATCATTGCTCTAGTTACACTGAGAAGTTAGTTTTAAATGTTCCAAGACAAATGAAATATACCCCCAGAAAAAGGTCTTACAAATGCTTCGAACATTGGCTTCCTCTTCTGTGGAGCAACTCAAAACAACCTAAGGACCTAGAAGGACTGATTGCTCTTGCTGGCCACAGGAAAGCACAGGGAACTGAAATGGAAGTAGTAGGGAGTAAAAATTAAATGCTAAAGATCAATTATTTATTTTTATATTATTATGTCTGCCTTCAGAAGTTCAAGGATGTAACCTTGAACCCTTGAAACCTTCCTTTCTATTTTTCTCACAGCCACAGGGGTGGGATTCAAATTTTTTAACAACCGGTTCTGTGGGCATGGCTTAGTTGGTGGGCGTGGCTTGGTGGTCATGTTATTGTCTGGGCGTGGCCAACTCAATATCACATCGAGGCACACATCTCCTCACTTGGCCTCTCATGACTGTGGGGATGCTGCAACAGTCGTAAGTGTGAAAAATGGTCATAAGTCATTTTTTTCAGTGCCATTGTAACTTTGAATGGTCACTCCACACAAACAAAGTACCAGCAAAGGAGGGGGAAAAAACTCCAGAGATGTTCCAGAGATAGGAAGTCTAGTCCTGCCAAGAATGTAATAAGGGTTAATGGAAAGGCGGTTTCTGTAAGCAACACCAGAATGTTTCCTTCCTGCCTTCCTTACAGGATTAGGCCAGTAATTTCTTCTAACAACCGGTTCTCCAAACTGCTTAGAATGTTAACAACCGGTTCTAGCAAATAGGTGTGAACCTGTAGAATCCCACCCCTGCACAGCCACCACTGTATGAGAAGACTGGGCTAAGAATGATTGGCTCTCCATGGCTCAGGATAGACTGCTTTTTTCAAGACACATCCAGTTCGTTAGCTAAGCTTGTTTTTCTCAGTAGTTAAGCTTGCTGTACATATAGTATGCACAGTACTGTACCCATCTAACTGGGGGAATGTGAGGACATTAAAAATGGGTCAACTGATCCAGTCAACTAGCCATGAAAAAAATAGATTTATCCCTGTCCAAATCTATGTCCCAGTTCTTTACAATCAGTTGTATTGTGGGAACATCTAAACAGAGTCCACTGATACATGTTGGAATCCTCAACTCTCCGCTTCAGAACTCCCAATGCTTCCAGTGCAGAACTCACTTTTGCAAGATGGATTGGCTGCATGTTATGTTGCCTGCCAATACTCTCCTGCAAAGTGGCTTATGGGATAATAAACACTCCCCAGGAAAAATGGACAGGGTCCATGTATTCCCCATTATTGTACTTATGTGCTACCAGAAGCAGAAGTGAGGAGATGCTTGAATTAAGAAATGCCGAATATTAACAATCTGATTCTATTTTCTGAGAACTTTGAAAGACTAAACTATATAAATGCCCATATTCAGTTCAGTGCCATAAGTGTGGCGCATCAAGTTTAAAATAAATGGACAACTTTTCTCTCTCTCTTTTCCTTCAGAGATCATGCTTTATTGCATTTAAAGAATGTCATCACAACACCCCACATTGGATCTGCAACTTCACCAGCCCGCCGCCATATGATGGAAAGGATGGTTGAAACTGTTCTGGCAGCTGTAAATGGCCTCCCAGTCCCTCATGAAGTCCACGAGTAACATGTGCTTTGTTGGGATAAAGTATTTCTATATTTGTCTTTAAAGTTTATACCGGGAGTCTCCAAACTTGGCAACTCCAAAACTTATGGTTTTCAACTCCCAGAATTCCTCAGCCAGCCATGCTGACTGGGGAATTTTTGGAGTTGAAGTCCACAAGGCATAAAATTAACAAATTTGGAAACCCCTAGTTTATACCAAAGTAATGAATTTGATTTTGATTACCGATCAGGATTTAACTTCCTTGGGGAAAAAAATAAACATGCTTTTGGGTATGTTTTGTTCATGTTCGTTTATGTTGTTCCGTTTGTTCTACGAGCTTTGTTAAATGGAATGGAAAACAAACCTGAAAAGTAAAAATATCTGTCATTCCTTTTCACTGGATGCATCAGATGAGCGTCCTAGTTGTATGAATCAGTGTTTGAAGGGTTTGTTTTCAAATAAGGTTTACTGCTAAAGGTATCTGAGATATTTTGCCAAATATCATCTGTGGGATAGGCTATTACTCTGAAAATAGCAGCTGACTTAATGAAGATTAAATTTAAGCATTAAAATTAATAGGACTTATTCCCAAATATGTCAGTTTTGAAATAAGACTAATATATATGTGTAAATATATATGTGTAAATATGTATTCTAAAGGAGGACCCTGAGATAATTGATGTGGTTAGGACTCATATAGCATACCTGTGAGATTTGAGGGCATATAGTTTAAACTATCCTACATATTCAATTTTTGTAGTCTCTACTATTGCGAATACTCTATGATGTTACTGAAGAAATCCTGGACTTTTGAGCCTGTAAAATATTATTGAGGTGAAATTTGCAACTTTATGGCAGAGCAAGAACTCTAGATGTGACTGGAGTTATAGATTACTGGAACTGCCCTTTTTCAGTTTGGATGACAGGAAAACTCATCCTATAATATAATCAGAAAAAGAACAAATACGTACATCAGCGTAATGTTAATATCAGACTAGGTCTGGAGAGACCCACATTTGAGCCATGGTATCTCCCTGAATGATTTTGGCCCAGTCACTCTCAGCCCATCCTACTTCGCAAGGTTGTTGTGGAGAAATACAATAATACTGCCTATCCCGGGTCCTTGGGAAGGACTCAATAGGTGGACTCAAATGCCAAATCCAGTTTGAAAATTTGGCTGACTATGCAATGGACCACAGTAATAGGTGCCTTGAATGTGATCCCAAAACAACTGGAGCACCACTTGAACATCATCAGCACTGACAAAATTACCACCAGTCAATCGCTTTCCTCAGAACAGCTGACATCTTGCAACGATCCCTCTAATGCTATCAAGCATTCACATCTGCCTATCCCACATCCTTGGGAAGGCCTTGATCATTGGATACAAATGCCAAACCCAGTCTGGCTAACTGTGTGCAATCCAAAAGAAAGAAAGCCAAGTTGCCTTAACTCCTTGAGAAAAAGCGAATTGGAAATCTACCAAATGGGTCACTATAAACATGGTGACCCAAAGGTGCTTTTTCAGGAGGCAACTGAAACTGAACTGTTTTTTTTCCCCTTCTTTGAAGATGTTTCGCTTCTCATCCAAGAAGCTTCTTCGGCTCTGACAGGATAGTGGGCAATGGAAGGGTTTATATTCCTTGCATCTTTTTAGTGAGTTGTTGAAGCCCTTGAAGGTTGATCTGTGTCCTCAGGGTCAGCTGAGTGGTGCTCCTGGTTCCTTTCCTCCTTTAACCGGCTGCCTGCATGGAGTATAAATCCTTCCATTCCCCACCATTTGGCCAGAGCTGAAGAAGCTTCTTGGATGAGAAGAGAAACGTCTTCAAAAGAAAAAAAAACCCAGAAAGTCCAGTTGCCTCCTGAAAAAGCACCTTTGGGACAACCATGACCTGGATCAGGGGGTCTCTAACCTTGGGGGCTTTCAGAACTGTGGACTTCAACTCCCAGAGTTCCTCAGCCAGCAAAGCTTAAAGTCACCAAGGTTAGAGACCACCACCCACCCACCCCGACCTGGATGACTTTGAGACTCTCTAAAGACCATATAAACGTGGCGACTTTGTCGAAGCTCAGGTCCCCAAGAAGTCCTTCCTAGTCGCTGGGGGGCGCTGTGGAAAGAGCGCTGTTCGAGGCGGTGGGTGTCGTGAGTTGCGCATCCGGAGGAAGCGAGGCTTGGCGTTCCCCCGTTCTAGGACTCCGGCTTACAATGTGGAACGTTCGGCACGGCTTGACGGCGGCTGCCGCTTTCGCTCTCACCTCGGCCAGGAAAGCGGCGAGTCCGCCTTGGTCGCTCCCCGCTTTGGGAGGCCCCTCCGGGGTAACGTGCCCCGGCTGTTCTCGGCCTCTGCACTGTTCCAGACGACTCTGCCGATCCCCTAGTGAGTTGCTCAGAAAGTTCCTGGTTAAAAAAAAGTGAGTGGATTCCCCCCTTCCTTTTGCCCCCGAACCTGAACGGGGTGCTGAACCGCGGAACGATAACGGTTTCGTGGCTAGGAGACGTTTGCCTCTCTGGCTGGAGAATTCTGGGAGTTGAAGTCCACAAGTCTTAAAGTTGCCAAGGTTGGAGACCTCTGCTCTAATCCTCCTATGCGGCTTGATAGGCAGCGTCGCCCTCCTGACTGAGATCCCTTTACAAACCCGGTCACCATTTTGCCTTCCGAATTATAGTCCTCCTGTTTGCTTGTTTTTTTCTTCTTGTTGACAGAAGCTTGATCCCGTTTCTCTGGAATGGGGGTCTTCAAACTTGACAGCTTTTAAGACTTGTGGACTTCGACTCCCAGAATTCCTCCTCCCAGTCATGTTAGCTGAGGAATTCTGGGAGTTGAAGTCCACAAGTCTTAAACTTGCCAAGTTTTGAAGAGCCTTGCTCTGGAACGTTTGATCCCTCGCCATTCTCTGAAATAATAGAGTGCAATAGGCATTGCACTTGCAGCTTTATCCCTCCTGTAACACAGAAACAAGCTGTACAGGCAGTCCTCAACTTACGACCACAAAAGAGCTCCAGAATTCAAGTTGCCAAGTGAGGGGGAGGTTTGTTCAGGGAGGTTTGCCCCAGTTTACGACTTTGCTTGCCACATTTGTTAAGCGGATCACTGCAGCTGTTAACATCGTCGTTAAATGAATCTGGCTTCCCTACTGACTGCAAAAGGGGAATCCCAGGACTCCAGGATGTTGTACCTGTCATAAATGCGAGTCAGTTGTCAAGCATCCGAATGTAAATCACGTGACTGTGGGAATACTGCAATGGTCCTAAGTGAGAAAAATGGACATTGCTCATTTTTTTCAGTGAGGTAACTTTGAATGGTCACTAAGTGCACTATTGCAAGTTGAGGATTGCCTGTACCGGGACTTAGTTACACGAAACTGGTTCTAAGTTAAAGGTAATTACAGCGCCGACCTTTGTGTGGTTTTAGAAAGCAGCCTCAGTGAGTCACTTGACTCATTTTAAGTAAGTAAGTTACACTGATTGGCACAATGCCTGCTTTAAATCAGGGGCCTTCAAACTTGACAGCTTTAAGACTTGTGGACTTCAACTCCCAGAAATCCTCCTCCTGTCATATTAGCTCAGGAATTCTGGGAGATGAAGTCCAGAAGTCTTAAACTTGCTAAGTTTGAAGACCCTTGCTTTAAATACTAGAGCATCTGACAATAATAAATAAATGCTTTATTGGCTGTTTAGCTGTTATTAATCAGTCTGTATGTGACATAGGTTGTTGTAAAATACTGAGTCTAAACTCATAAATTTTGGAGCTGTGAGTTTTGGATTGGAACCCTGAACTCCCATCTTCATTTGCTGAATTGATTTTTATTTGTGTGTGATATGAACCTTTCATGATTGAATTATTACTATGTTCTTAGTAAGGCAGTGTTTCTCAATCTTGGCAACTTTAAGATGGGTGCACTTGAACTCCCAGAATTTCCCAGATAACATGCATGCAAGCTGGCAATTTTGGGAGTTCAAGTCCACACATCTGAAAGTTGTCCAAGTTGAAAACTGCTATAAGAGGTAATAATAAATTATGGTTTAATGGTAACGCATGTCATGTTTGTTCATGAACAATGTATGAGTGAGTTTTGATAGCTTTATAAAGTATTTAATGCCCTTGTTAAAGTTATTTTTCAGCTAGATTTTGCAAAATAAAATAATGCATAAAATATTTTATAGTTATTAAAGCATACAATTATTTTCTGTCTCTAATCTTTAAAGGAAGAAGTTTTGGTATTCTAGTCCTACCCTTGGATCTGAAGTGGTAAGAACAAAAAATCCCTTAATCTAGAGGCAAAATTTCATAAATTTTGTATAATTTCTATACTGTATTATGATAATTGTACTAGATTATGTAGCTTTCTTGGGATTCAAGTAAACATTAAAATGTGACTTCCCCCCCCCCCAGAATTGCATAAAGCAATGGTAGCTATTTGTTTTCATTGAAGTTGTATTGTATTTCATACTGAATTAGAAATAAATAAATAATTGTTACGCTATTGTATTTTGTCATTTACTGTTTTCATCAGGGAGTGGTATAGGAATAGAATAAAGCCACATCAACACCTAAATAGCAGCATTAGGTTGTTATTTACAGATATTACAGGTTTAGTAAAAAGGACTCAAAATATTTACAGTGTAATTATAAATGTCTATGGAGATTTTCAGTCATCCAGGCCATGGTTGTCCCAAAGATGCTTTTTCAAGAGGCAACTAAACTTTCTGGGGGTTTTTTCGAAGACGTTTTGCTCTCATCCAAGAAGCTTCTTCAGCTCTGTGAGGATGGTGGTCTATTTGACATTTTTTTTTTAGATTTGACAATTTGTTTTACCATTTTTTTAGATTTATCAGATGTTTAGTAGGTATCCAATTATTTGTGATTATTTATGATTGATATACTTTACGTTTTTGCTGTTGTACTATATTTCCAGCTATGCAGCTCTTCTTCGAAAGGATATCTATATAAAAACATCAAAATTTAAGAATATAGGTATTTGAAATAACTATGCTGAAGTGTTGCTCATAATCAGGTTACATAGAAGAATTATGTCACTTCCATAAATTAATAGACATCTTTTTAAAAATATGATACTGTATATGAAGAGACGTGAGATAAACAAATATAATTGGGACTGTTACTTAATATTGAGTTATGACTGACCTCCACTTAGAGGAGATGGTTCTTTTTAAAAACTAAAATATACTGAAATGTGATTGATTATTATAAATAATATTATAAATCCTTGAAATCTAAATTCAGCTGTATACTTATGAGATGTAATTGAAATTCAGCTCTTTGTTTCCTGTTTTCATTTCAATATTTATAGAATGGTAGGAATTGTTTCCACTTAATTATTATAGGGCAGCTTTGTATCAAAAGTACAGGAAAACAAGGGTAATGAAAAACAGAGAAATAGCAGCAGTTCTACTGGATCCTTAAAGAAATGCACTCCTGTCTAAAAAGTTATGCCCAATGCCAAAAATGTTTGTTTTATGCAATCTCTTGTTTTTTAAAGCTGTGCAAACCCTCCAGCTTGACAGATGTTTTAAAGCTACGACCTCCAAAGATCAGAAAACAAGATAGCATTCGTAAGAAAACTTTGGACGTTCTGTTTTTTCAAGCTGTGAGGGACCTACTGGGCACCCCTCTAGCTGGCCAAGAACTTTATGATCTCAATGTGGAAGTGTTTAAGGCAAGTATAAATCATATCAGTCCAGCAAAATCCTTTAATTATGTGTCCAAGCAGAAACATCTGATATTGCAATTGCGTCCAGGAAACTGTGCAGATGTTGCTGTGATTTATTTTATTGCATTGGATTGCATTGAGAGCTGTTTTACATATATTGCTTATGGTTTATTGCCGTTATTTATTGCATTGTACAGCGAAGGTATCAAGGACAGTTGTACTACATTGTCAATCACAGGTGGGAAACGATGGTCCGTTTATGACTTGAGGATTTCAACTCCCAGAATTCTTGAGCCAGCATGGCTGGTTCAGGAATTCTGGGAGTTGAAGTCCACAAGTCACAACAGCTCCATTGTGAGCCACCTGTGTTATAAATTGATAATGCCATTTTATACCATTCCTGCGTATGCTTTTACATTTAATTTGCAATCCTATTCAGCTGGAAGTTATGGAAGAGAAGCTCAGTAGACACAGATGTACCATTACTCATGATCTACTAGCAGGAGGGCTTAAAACAGAATATTCCTTTAATATATTAGTAATAGATAGATAGATAGATAGATAGATAGATAGATAGATAGATAGATA